GTGAGGGGGCAGCTCCCGCCCCGGGGCGCGGGGGGTGCTGGGGGGCTGCTCTCTAGCGCCCGGGGCGCGGGGGGTGCTGGCGGCGCGGCTGCCCCTCACCCCCTGCCCCCGCACAGCTCCTGGGGCACCTGCTGCTGGTGGCGAGCCAGACGGCGAAGGCGCAGGGGCTGTCGGACGGCTACCGCGTGGGTGAGTGCGTGGCGCGTGTGGCGTGGCCCCCCGTGCCGGTTCCCGCGGGGCGCGCACCGTGACACCTCTCTCTGCCGGCAGTGATCAACGATGGGCGGCTGGGCGCCCAGTCTGTCTACCACCTCCACCTGCATGTGCTGGGCGGGCGCCAGATGGGCTGGCCGCCAGGATGAGCAGTGGCTGCCGAACCCAGCTCTGCAATAAAGCGCCAGCTGCCAGGATGGGGCCGCGGCCTGCTCACTCTGCCCTGCGCCTGGGTCCTGGGGTCTGCGCCGAGTTCGGCCCCTGCTTCACCGCTACCCCCGCTCTGCCCTGCGGCTCGAGGACGTGCCAGGGATGGGAGGAGGCAAAAGCTGGCAGCCCCTTTCGCTCCCCGCCACGGCTGTGGGAGCTGGGGAGCAATCGCCCACGGGCCCGCATCTCTGTGGCGCAAGGACAGGTGGAGATGTCTCGCTGTCTCAGCCTTTCAGCCCTCCCAGGGCACTGCTGGGCCGCATCCTGCCGCCCTGAGGATGCACCAGGCAGACCTTTGCCAAGGGGACACAGCCACAGGTCCAGCAGGCGAGATCCTAAGCAGACAGGGCCAAGAAGCAGAGAGCAGTGGGGCATCCCCCACAGGCAGTGAGTATGGCGGGGGCCCACAAGAGCACTGCCCTCTTCACAGAAAGGAGCGCTGCCCCCCGAGCCTCAAGCACGGGCACCCCCAGGGGTTGGCTTTAGGCCCCGCTGCCGGGAGGGCCAGCTGATCGCTGGGCTCACACCCAGGCCCAGAGCCCTTTGGCTGGATGCGCTGTTCCCTGTCGGTGCTGCCCTGCAGCTGCACCAGCCCATTGCTGTGGGCATGGGCAACTGGGGCACGTGTCCCCGCTAATGCCAACGCCACCAGTGGCTTCTGCGGGTGCTCGCCAGCCCCATCCTCGCTGCCACCACCAGCTTCTGAGTCTGGGGGGGCAGTCGTAAGAGGCACCAGTCACCCGTGGCTGCGGGGTCGGTTTGGGTTCCTCCCTGGCACTGCACAGGGGTCCCAGGCATGAGATCAGCATCAGGTCCAGATCCCTGGGCATGGCCCTGCCTTGCTCATGAACCCTGTTGCAGCAGGATCCCAAGGTTTCAGCCTTGCCAGGGGTCATCCAGAGCCATCCCTGCTCCCTCTGCAGCCACTTGTGTGCCGGCTGCGCTTGCATTTCAGGCCCAGGCACCCTGCCCCCACTCTGGGTCTGGGCATCAGGCCCTCGGACCTCATGGTTTCTAGCAAGCGGCAGGTTCTGAGGTCTTCTCTGTGCTTTCTGGAGTCTGGGTTTTGAGTGGGGTGGGTGCAAGGCACATCACAACCATGGCCAGAGTAGCAATAAAGCTTCGGGTGAGGTCCCTAGGCACAGCCTGTTGCATAGTACAGGTTCTACCACTGCAAAATCCGTCAGCCAGCCTGGAAAACTCGCATCCAAGTGTCATAAAGGAGTTGGCCAAGGCATCCGACTCCTTTGTGGCACAGGTAAGGCAGGATGGAGACTTGGGGGATTCCATGTGGCTGTACAGGAAAACACCAGTGCTGCCTGTTTACTAAACAAGAAAGGAGTTGGAGAGAGTGCCTGGCTGTGCCCGGTACCTAGCGTGGCTAAACAAGCGGAAAGGCTAATTGGGGACCCAAGCAGCAGAGAATTGGGGGCTAAATATAACATTTGTGTTGCAGGGTTTTTGCAAATAGGGGCACTTTTTGTCAGGCCTTCATCTAGATGAGTTTACAGGTCTGCCTGATGCAAGTAGCATCCTCTCCTCCATTTACTGTCATGCAAAGCAGGTTTAGACAGGATCCAGAAAACACTCCTGCACACTGGGAGCCAGGAGAGAGGTCAGGGGACCTTGGGATTTTTTTGCCTCTCTCAGAGGTGCTGAGTGTTGCTGCAGCCCAGCCTGGGGATGGGGACAAGGCTGTGCCAATGTGAGCCTCAGCCTGGGTGAAGTCCAAAACGTGCTGGCTGCAGGGACATGCACTTTGCACTGTGAGCACAGGGCCCAGCTGCATTGGCACCAGGCAGTGGCACATGCTTCTCGAGGGGCAGGGAGGAGCCCGCATCCCTCCTGCCTGCAACTGGTTGGGACAGGTGGCAGCTCTGGCTTACAGCTCCCAAGCTCTGCCCAGCTGCCCCAGGTGTTGTGCAAGCAGCTGGGTCCTGCTAGGAGCTGGGTCCCCTGGACATTGTGGTTACAGGAACCAGGGCCTGGGAAAAGCCCCCACAGCGCCCATCCTGGGCCACGTATTGCAGCCCCACTGCCAGACATGTCAAGGAGCCCTGGCAGTGCCAGAAGGGGTGTGGAAGCCAGCATAAGCAGGGACCATGGCCCCAGCAAAGCTGCAGGTTGCTCTGCCCAGGTGCAGACTGCAGCCGTGCTGCCAAGTGCAGGCTGTGGCCATAGCAGGAGCCCGAGTGATGCCTACTGTGGGCTTAGCTGGTACGTGGGCACCAAACATAGCCATGGCCAAGGCCTCAGTGCATCAAACACCCTTTGCACCAGCAGGACCCTGCCGGCCCTCACCCTGGGGCAGGCTTGGGCGCGCTCAGCGTTTGGCCTGGGGGTTGGGCCCATGGCGCGGTGGTAGGAACAGGCCAGACAAGGATGGGTCAGACAGGGACTGTCCTGCCTGGAGCTGGGGCAGGACTAGGTGTGATGGCTGTGAGGCCATGCTGGCCTCGCTCTGCTGTTTCCAGGCAGTGTTTAAGCCATGCGGAGGAGCCTGGGGGAGTCATGCAAGATGCTGCTGATCAAGGCCATGGTGATCAGGCCTGGCCCAGCACACGCCCGTGTGTGGGGGCAGCAGCACAGCCCAGAAGCCTGGGAGATCCCCGTGACAGAGCACAGGTCTCGCTGTGCCTAGAGCAGCAGTTCTCCTCTTTTGTACCAGGACCCACTGGTAAACATCGAGGGCCAGCACGGACCTCACGCTCACCTGTTGGCCCCAGGCGTGAGCCCCCCCAGCGTGGAGCAGAGGGGCCCTGAGCAGCCCCTTGCATGTTGGAGCCCTGCCGGCCTTCAGAGGAAAAGCCAGTTTCCCATGTTTTTCTCCTTTAAAGAACCTGTTTTTAAAGCTTGTTCAGGACCTCTTCATGCTCATTTATTTTTAAGGGAAATTTTTCACGTCTCAAGTCAAATCAGCCAAATCACTTCCAAATCTGCGAGTCACTCAAGAACCGTATGTGACCCTACTCCCAGTAAGCACCCTCCACCCTGTCCTCAGGCTTCAGATACTTCCAGATCCTTTGGCAGACAGGCCCAAGTCTTGGGGTTTGGATGCCCAGGGTTTCGCTGGGCCACAGGAGCAGGCTAGGGGGAACAACCCATAGGCTGAGAAACACTGGTCTAGAGCATCCCCACCCAGCAGCTGCCCAACCTCTCCTTGAACACCTCTAGTGAGGGAGGGTCCCGCTCCCCTGGCCTCTCCCACAGCCTCCCTGCTCCAATACTGAAAACATTTTTTCCTGATCTCAACCTAAACCTTTGCTGCAACTTCAAGCCATTGGTCTGCAGCCTCCTGTCAGCACCAAAGGTGCTTTCCCACTTCCTCTGGCAGCCCCTCCAGGACTGGTCATTTTTTTGTGAAGATGGAGGCAGAGTAGCTGTTGAGCAGCTCCTTTGGCGTGGAGGCATCCCAGACACTCCATGTGCAGCCACATCTGTCTTTTGCCCTTCTTGTGTGTCCATCATGCCAGGAGTTTCTGGCTGGGCTTCCAGTACTGCCCCTGCAGTACGCCCGGCTCTCCTGGGAGAGAGCAAAAGGAAGGGCAGGGAGGTACCTCACAAGGTCACATCTCGGCAATGCTGATCCTGCCATGTGTGGCTGCAGAGACCCTGCAGGGCTCACTGCCAGGGGGTGGGGGAACTCTGTTTGCCCCAGGCAGCACCTCTGCCCTGGCTTCACCCTGTACCATTGTACCTGGCCAGCTCTGCCCTCCAGTATCAGCCCTGCGGACAGCAACTCATCGACTGAGAGCCTGGCCCTAGCTGTGGCAGCACAGGCTGCAGCACCGCAAGCGGGACAGGGCTGTGCACAGATAGTATTTTATTATTATGAATTTAAATTAAAATCACTTTGCATCTAAAAGTGGCTCCCCTGTGGCCGACAGACCAGAACTGATTGCGATTCCGTGCAGAGCCGGCGCGGGAGGCCTGGGGCAGATGCACAGGCCCAACCTGCCGTCCGGGAGCCCGGCCGCGCAGGACGATTGTCGGAGGCCAGGCAGTGGGGTGCGGTGGGGTGGGGGGAGGAGAGCACTCCCCTGGGTATGGTTCATGCTGAGCAACCCTGGCTGCCCCTCCCAGACCAGCTGCAGTGAATGGGAGTCGGGGGCCTTGTGCTGGGGAGAGGGCGATTCCCCTCCAGGCAGCGGGTCCCGTAGGCCCTGCTGCTGGAACAAGGGGAGGATGGCTTCCAGCTCGCTGCCCCTGGGCCAGGCCCTGCAGGTCCCCTGAGGAAGGTGGGGGGGGACTTCCAGGGGTGACTAAGCCCTGGCCCCCAGATCCCCCCCGAGCCACACCGCCCCCCACGCCTCGCACAGGAGGGGCCCGCTAACTGCCGGAGCACACGAGGGGCGGCTGGCAGGAGGGAGGACACAGCAATTAAAACGAGCTCTAAAAGGGGCAGTGCCCGGACCGGGCCCGGCACAGGCGGCCTGTGCGCAGCGCCTGCCCTCCAGCAGGGTCCCAGCCTGGGGCAACAGCAGCAATTCCCGGCTTCAGCCTGGTGGTGCCTTCACTCGTGGGTGGGGGAGTCAGGCGTGCGCCCCGCTCTGCTCTCCAGGGCCAGCTGCATGCTCCAGATGCTGAGGGGGCGCATGTAGGCCAGCGACCGGAAGAGCTTCCTTTGGCAATAGGCCTCGGGCGTCTGGAAGGCCATGCCCAGCCGCTCCCACACGGTGCGGTAGCAGCCCTCCGCCGTGCGGAAGCCCTCCTGCACCAGGCCCTGCAGCACAGGGGAGAGGGGAGGCGTCAGCGCGTGCTGGCCACCCGCGGAGAACCACGGGGACGCAGCCGCCGCACTCACCTCCTGGATCATGGTGGCCGCCAGGGCGTACACCACACCGACCCACACCTCGTTGGACTGCACGCTGGAGGTGTCCGGGATGCCGTCAGGCCGCATGCCGTTCACAGCTCCCATCGTGCCGTCAGAGAAGCCCATGACATTCATTTCAAAGATTGTCTTCAGTGCACTGAGGACATGGCTCTTGGGGAAAACCTGCAGGGACAGACACGTAGCCATCAGTCACGCTCACCCTGAACCCAGGGTCCCAAGCCTGCCGCCCCGCATGTGCGCAAGGGACAGGACTCTGCAGGGAATTCAAAGCCAACACACCGTGTAGTCCAAGCTGCCACGCAGCCCAGAGGCAACCACGGCATGCAATGAAAGCTGTTTCCAGAAAGGCCTCGGGGCAGCTGGACATAAAGAATGTGCTCCTGCTTGGGACCCGACTCGCAGAGATGCACCCTCTACGCCCTGCTTCTGATCTGAATGTGTCTGGCTTTAACAGGGTCTCATTCTGCCTTTCCCTGCTAGACTGGGGCCCAGTTCCTCAACAGGGCCAAACACACCTGGCTTGGGTCATAAAGTGGTGAAGGGAGTGACAGAGGTGTCAGAGGAACAGATGCTAGAAACGCACAGGCCAGCTCCTGATGGGGACGGGGACCTCTTGGAGCACTAAATACTCCCAGGACTTGTGTGCAGGGAGGACAGACGTGAAAGCAGCACTGCACGGAGAGAACCAAGTTGAGAAGGATCTACGGGGGAAGAGTCATGGGGCTCCGCAGGATCGTGACACGGGAGCAGGGGTCTGTATGTACTTCTTTGGTGCGGTGCTGGGGGTGTCAGGCCTACAGCCCTGCGTTTTAACAAGGAGACTGAAGAGCTACAAAACATGGGTGAAGGGTTGGATAAGACACTGGGCAGGGACTTAGCAAGCAGCTGCCCTTCAGCTCATGCAAAGCAAACTGACGGAGGCAGCGATTGTGGCGTCAGTACCTGCACAGAGAGTGGAGACACTGGGTGCCAGAGCTCTCAGCCTGAGCAGGGAAACAAGGAGCACCAAGAAGCAACAGCTGGAAGCAGCAGCTGAACACCTTCCCATGGAAAACAAGGCACAATCTTTATCAAGTGTCAGGGCCATGAACTGCTGGAAGGAGCTGCCGAAGGAGGCGGCAGCATCCCCACCTCTTGGTATTTTCAATTCCCAGCCCAATGTTTTTCTGGAAGAGGCTTCAGGCAAACACAAGTTCTCGAGCTCGGTCCCAGAGTAACCGCTTGAGCCTTGAGGTTGGTGCTACGCTGAAGGCCAGAGGGGACAATCTCGCCCTCAGAGCATCACGGGAAGAACCGGGATTCAGCTGCACTGGATGCACAGCTGTGCACCTGGGGACTCGTCAGGATTTCTACTAGGGGCCAGGAGCTCATCACTCGTCAACCACAGAGGAGAAGAAAGACCTTGTGGTATTAGTCATTCGCATCGTAACTACGAGCCACTGATATGATGCAGCCATGAACAAAGCCTGATTAGTCTTCAAACTACCTGAAGGATGATTACAGAAAGGCTGGAAGGGGCTTTTCTCTGTGGCCGCAGGGGCAGGACTAGGAGCAACAGCCTCAAGCTGCAGCAGGGAAAATTGAGGCTGGAGATGAGGGAACTTCCTGGCTCTGCAGGGGTCCAGCACTGGAACAGGCCCCTAGAGAAGTGGTGGGATCCTGGACAGACACGTGGCTGGGGTGGTTTAGTCCAGCGTTTCTCACCCCGTGGGTTGTGAGAATATATGAAAGGATCACAAACAAATTTTAAAAATGGATTCTCCTTAAAAGAGAAAAATGTAGGAAACTGTGGCTTCTCCCTTGCAGGCTGGCAGAGTTGCTTGGGGCCCCCCCACCCCACACACTGGAGGGCTGGGGCCTGGGGGTCGGGAGTGAAGGACACAGGGTCAGGACTGGCCATTGATGTTTACAAATGGGTCTTGGTACAAAAAAGGTTGAGAACTGCTATAAGGGATGATCCTGCCTTGACCAGGAGGCTGGACTAAACGCGACACCTTGAGGTCCCTTCCAGCCCTGCTCTGCTAGGATCCCAACACAACCCCAGGACAGACGAGGCATTTCCAGGGGGAAACGTGAAGCATTCAGGTCACCGGTGAGGCACCTGCAAGGCGTGTGCAGTTCTAGTCGCCCACGAGCAAGGAGGAACTCAGGTGGGAGCAAGTGCAGAGAAGGGCTGCGAGCGTGATGGGAAATGGACCGGTCTCCACGAGGAAACCAGAGGAGCTGGGCTTGCTCATCCGGGCTGGTCAAAGGGCCCAGCTGCCACCTGTCAGCACTGCAGGCTGTGAGCGCCTGGGTGGGAGGAGAGCTAGCAGAGTTAAAGGACACTCGGCACAGGAACAGATGGGGACAAACTAGCCATTTGTGCAGTTAAGCCCAGAGCCAGAAGACAGTTCCTGCTCATCGGATGACCAGTCCTGGACCAGCCTCTCAAACTTCAACATGGGGAGGAAATGCCTCCGGGTGTCCAACACCAGCAGGCAAGTTTGTGGTGAGGAGGATGACACGGCACCACAGCGGTGGGGGACTGTGCTCAGCCCTGACGGAGCTGCCGTTAGCAGGTGACCTCCCCACCCCGAGTCCAGCTGTCCACCACTGTCCCACTTCAGCACCCTTAAAACACGGGCGTATGAGCACTGCACATGGCCTTTCAGTGCGGGTCTCACCAGCGCCAGACAGGTCACCCCCACTTCCCCAGCCTGGTCCCTGGTTGTGCGTCCAAGGACTGCACCAGCCCCTGCCTGGTTGTCAGCCCCCAGGATCCCCAGCCTTTGCAGTCCCAGAGCCGTGGGACTGGCAGGGACCTGCAGAGGTTTCATCTAGTTCAACCCCCTGCTTGAGGCAGGATCAGCCGTGTCCAAACCACCCCATACAACTACAGCCTACACTCTACATAAGACTGCCCCCAACCCTGACACAGCACAGACCTCGCACCCGACCCCGCTCAGGCAAAGCAGGGGAACGGCGGCACGCAGCGTCCTGCTTCCATGAAACGTCAACAGACACTCAAGAAATCCCAGGTACAGGTCATGCCCCCTGCCAAGGAGGAAGCTGAACCAGTGCTGAGCAGAGAGGCACTATCACCTCCCGTGTCTTGCACACGATGCTCCTACTGATGCAGCCAAAAACTGCACTGGCCTTTTGTGCGGCTGCATCACACTGCAGACTTGTACTGAGCCTGTGATATACCAAGACCCCGAAGTGCTGCCATCCAGCCAAGTGTCCCCTGTTTTGTATTGGTGTTTAAGATTACTGCTCCCGAGTGCAGCACCTTGCCTTTCTCCACTGAACCACATCCTGTTGGCCCCAACCTGGCTTTCCGGTCTGTCGAGACCCTTCTGAATTGTGCTCACATCCTCCAACATGTTTTGTGTCATCCGCAAACTTGCTCCAGAAGCTCTCTCTGCCGGCAAACGAATCGTTGACAAACACGTTGAACAGCACCAGGCCCAGGACAGATCCGTGGGACTCCACTTGAAACCGCCTGCCATTCTGCCATGGGCCCACGGCAGGTGGCTTCAAGCGGAGCCTCCTGAGACAGCGTCACCCTCCGTGTTCACGGTCCAGTCCCAAGGGCTGTCCCACCAGGTCTCAGCAATGCCAATCAGACCGCGGTCCTTCCACAGGCTGCAGCTTCCAGCTTGTCTTGTTTATTCCCCCTTCTCACATCTGTATACACGCATCAGATGTACTTTGCGCTTTGACTCCTCACTCCCCTTTTGTTCTGTTTGTTGCAGTCCTGTAGCTCTCCAACCCTTTGCCAGAGCCCAGTCGCTTCTTCGAGTCCTTTCCCCCTCGAGCCCTTCCCCCTCTGGACTGTGCTCTGTTGCTCGATCACCATCCCCCTAGTACAGCCCTTACAAGGTTGGCCAGACTACACCCCGAGATGTTCATCCCCATTCTCATCAGATGGACCTCATTTCTTGATAGCAGCCCTCTTCCCAAGAACATCCGCTCATTGTTGAAGCAGCCAAAGCCTTCATGTCGACACAACCATCTCAGTCACGCGTTCACTGCCTGGACCCCCGCCTGCCACGGGAAGGATCGATGAGAACACCACTTGTGCTCCACACTCCTTAATCCTTCTTCCAAGAGCCTCATAGTCGCCTCTGATCTGGTCAGTGTCATTCCTGGAAGTACTGTTGGTCCGTACAAGGGCAAGCAGGAAGAGGTCGAGCTTTGGCTGTCTCTGCGACGTCCTGAATTTGGGCTCCAGGCAGACAGCACACCTCCTGAGCCCCCAAATATGAATGACAAATTGGTGGCGCTGTGCCTCGTAGAAGGGAGTCACCAGCCACCCTGCTCTTCTCTTCCTTCTTGGTGCTGTGATCCAGGCGCCCCTGTCCTTGGGGCCTTGCACTTCCTGCTGTCCAGGCTGCTGCCTCCCTTGCCTCGTGCCTGCAGATGTCCTCTCCTCTGCCTCTTCCTCAGCAGCTCCACCGCAGGGTTCGAAAGCAATTGCTGACTTCAGTCCACCCCTCCTCAATCCTGGGGGCCTCCGTCTTTTAGTCACATGCTGCCACTTCTCCTCACTGCCCTTTGGCCTCTCCAATACCAGCCTCTTGTAACTCTCCTCCAAGGCATCTTCCTGGTCCCGGATGCAATGCAGCGTGGTGGGTACCCTTGCTTCCAATCTGTGAATCTTCTCCCCTCAGGGCACACACCAGCTTGCACATGGTGCAGATGAAGTGCTCCTGACCCTCCAGAGAAATATGAACACGGCACAACCCACATAAGTCGCAACAGCTGACCCAGCCTCCATTTGTGCCTCCTTTGCTCCCTGGAGCACATCTGTGCTGTAAGGATAAAGAGAGGGAGGAGAGAAAGGGGGGAAAACAACACCACAAGAACCTGCACGCCAAGCACCCGCACCAGGGTCCCAGTACCATGCACACAGTCTCCTGCTCCCCGCGTCCCTCCTGGGTGAGCTCCTTGGGCAGACTCCTTCTCCATTCACTGCTTTTTCCCAGAGGGCTGCCTACCAGCTTTCTGCAGGCCTGTCCTGCATTTCCAGGCCCCAAGTGCAGGGCTCTGCATTCAAGAAACAGTTTAAACAGGCCCAGCAAACCGAGCAATCCAGACCGGAGCGCAGGGCTGCCCTCCCCCTGCTCTCTTCCATCCCTCCAGCCTGCATGTTACCAGCAACTTCTACTCATCAGCAGTGATCTCTACACTTGCTCCCAGATCACTGCTGAACAGTGCTGGGCATCGTGCTCATTGCAAAAGAGCTACTGGAGACATCCTCTCAGTGGGTGTGGATTCCCCACTGCCAACAGCTCCAAGATGCGCTGGTTGGCCAATTCACGCTCCGTCTGAATGCCTGGAAAGCGCACATCAACAGTGCTGATTTTGTAACCGGAACTTTTGGGGAACCAAGTCAACCACCTCCCAGAAATCCCAGCCCGCTACATCTGTGCAGTTCCCTCTAGCACCAAAACAGTAACCTCCTCGCAGAACCTGACTGGCTTAGTTTGACGACCCCTGCTTTTCCTCAGCCTGTGCTACCAGTGCTAATTATATGCACAGCTTTTAATTCCCCATCAGTTGAGTCAGCTTTTCCATTATTTTGCCTGGGACTGAGCCTGGGCTGCAGTCACCAGGCTCAGCCTGCTCACCCCTTCTGAGAAGAGGCACAGAGCAACTCTCCATCAGCCCCTGGGCACGCCTCACAGTTCACGGTGTTATTAAATACTCATTTATTTGGGGAGGGAGGAGGAGGGTCACCTGCAAAGCTCAAAGTGCCTAAAAAAAAAAAGAAAAGGGAAGAAAAGAGAGGCCAGCACGATGATGTTGCTCTTAACAGGAGGGAACTGACAGCAGGCTGAAGCTCGTCTGTCGGCTCAGGGAGCAGTGACAGCATGCCCAGCATGAAGAGCACGCCTGCGTGTCTGGGGAGGGGTGAGACAGACTCTTCCCCCAGGCTGTTATTCAAGCACGCGCCCATCAGGCCCCGGCCGCCTGCCCTCTTCTCCGGAGCCTGCCTCAGGAGCCCACCTGCTCCGTCCAGTTCCCCGCTCCAGCTGAGCTCACTCAGGCCTTACAGAAGTCCCTGAGCCCTTCCCAGCTGTGTCCAGAAGCCGAAGGCAGCCAGCTGGCTGCAGGCACCTGGCTCCCAGAGGGGCTGATCACAGCCTCGCACAAAGGCAGAAATGATCCTAATAGATGCTGTCCTGCTACTGGACTGAGAAGTCCTCCCTGCTTCTTCCCAAACACCGACCGCTCCTGCTTTCCTGCCCTGTCGTTAAGAATTTCACCACCCTCTTGTAATGGGGCTGACGCCTTTCCACCCTTCAAGCCCGCGTTGACCGCTGCCTCCCCCCACTTCATCTGCACTGCTACACACATGCTTATTTCCAACTGCTGACCTCACTTCCCCTCCTCGCCACAACGGGCTTTAACAACAACTCTTCTCCTGCGCAGCGGTGGGGCTTTGGCCATCTGATAACTGGTTCTTAGACAGCTCCCATCTTCGCTCCCACCTCATTTTTTCCTCCCGATGAATTGTACTTGTAATTTTGCTTGGCTTGTCATGCATATTGCTGTGCTGAGAACAGATACCCACAGGAGCCTGCTAGATACTGCACAGTTGTAGCTGTATCCTGTGACCCAGTAGGTAGCTGGCATCCAGCTGACACAGCAGCCCAGGGTGCTGCTGGCTGCCCTCCTCCTGCCAGTGCCCAACGTGCAGGGTGCAGGAGGGAGCTCTTGGCTCCCTTTGGCCCAGTCCCCTGCACTCCTCTGACCCACAGCAGGCAGGACCCAGGAGGCCACTTGCAGCCCCAGACGTTTCCCACCCCTGGATGCAGATTCTTGCCCCAGTAGGGCCTCACAGGGGCTCTCACCTCAAACTCCCCTTGGCCCAGGCCGCAAGCCCGGAGAAACCACTGGCCTGCACACTGGTCCGACATGATGCTGGAGGAGCAGATGCCCTTGCTGCTGTCATAATTGTAGTATTTGCCTGGGGAGTGAGAACAGAGTCAGGCTCCTGGGCTGCCACGCCAAGCAACACCACACCACGCCATAGCACGATACCATCAAGGGTTGCTCGCACACAGCCTGCATCCCAGGGTGCAAGACAGAGGCTCGCCCCAAGCAACCCAGCGCCCACCGAGATGGGCTGGGCTCGGCCACCCTGCCCAGACGCACCGTTCCACAGCAGCCTCTCAAAGGCCTCCGAGCCCTTCTGCAGGATGGCTCTGTACTTGTGCAGGACCACGCCATCATCCAGGATCTCTGCCATCTTGCACATCATGCAGACGGCTGCCAGCCACAGGCTGCCACAGTAGGCACTGCCAAAGCAGAGGAGAGGAGGCCAATTTGCTGGTGCCCGCCTTGCCCTCCTCCCCACCCTGTCCGCACTGGTGACTCGGTCACCTGCCCTGCCCCAGTCCCCAGGATGCTCACCTGGCTCCAGTTGCCACCCACGCATCATAAGTCTGGTCGGCAAAGCCAGCGTTTTCGATAAGCCCATCGTTGTCGGTGTCGAATTTCAGCTCAGAGTCCATCACTGCCTACGGGACGGACAGATTCTCAGTCCTGCTTCCCACCCACTGCCCTGCCAGGGCCATCTCCGTTTCCAGAGAGGATGGGTGTCTCCCGGGGGAGATGAAAGCCCGTTCCTGCCCCGCTGCAAGCTGCCTTCCCCCCGGCCTGCTCCGCATCACATGCGGCCCGTCTGGGCTGAGCAGGAGCCGGTTGTACCTGACAGACAGGCCACATGTCCTGCAGGTAGGTGGAGTCGTGGGTGAGGTAGTAATCGCGATACACCTGCAGCACAAACTTCAGGTTCAGGTCCTTCCAGCTGGCCGTGTCGTGGATCAGGTAGGCGTTGACGCGCTGCCACGGCTCGTCACCTGGGCACCAAGCACAGGGCAGCTGCAGCACCCCGTACCTGCTGGAGGCCTCCTGGGACCAGGCGCCCCATGGCTGTACCTGCCCCACACCCCAGCTGGTCCACGTCACGGTGGCACCCCCACATGCGATGCAGCGAGCTGCCACGGAGACAGGCGCTCTCCCGCCCCACTCCCCCCAGGCACACCCTGCAGAAGGGGCTCCCCCCGGAAGGTCTCTCTGCCATATGTCCGTGTGCTATCCCACTCACACCCCCAACCTGCAGAAGTATCCTCCTGCCCACACAGCACGCCTGGGGGAAGAGGGACAGTCCCTGGGTCTCAGGAGACGCTCCCTAACAGCCACGTGTTTGGCTGGGAGCTCGGAGCAAAGGACAGGCTGCTGGGAACAGCCCCATGGGACTGCCCAGCCCTTACACAGGGTAAGGACCCTTACCGGGTTCCCCGATGTCATGCGGCACGACATTCTTCAGCTTCACTTTGGCCGTCTGCCCGTTCATGAGGTACAGCCGGGGCTGCGTGTCCTCGTTCAGCACTGAGGCAGCTAAAGAGAGCACAGGTCAGCAAGCAAGGAGCTAGCACGCTTTCCAAGTGACACGCCTGCCACGGAGCACCAAGGGGCCTTCTCGTGCCCCCACCGTCCCCGCCACACGCCTGCCTCAGGCTTCAGCCTGCTGCGCAGGGGCTGACTCAGGTGCGTGGCCCTGAGCTGGGGGGCGAGTTGTGTTAGGACCACTCCTGGGGAGGGCACGAGATCAAGAGGCTGCCCCAGGCTCCTGTCCGAGGGTGTCACAGGACCCCCAGGCTAGGCTAGGGCTGCAGACTCCAACCATTGCAGCCCAAGGGCCCAGATCCAGAGCCCTCGCCTGGTCCCTCACCCCATGCTGCTCTGTTCATACAGCTTGGAGGCAGCAAAATAAGTGAAGGCCAGCACAGCAGAGTGGGTCTGAGCCCCTCCGGCAGCCCCTGGGAAGGGGGAGTGGCTGCATCACGGCTGCTCTCCCACCCTTCAGACACCATGACCACTGGCCAAGTCAGGACATCCTGGCCTCACTTCCTTCCCCTCTGGGGGCCGGGGAGGGGGGGAACCAGCCGTGCACAACCCTCCCATGGGCTCGGGCAGAACCTGCCCTGCTCTCCAGGCTCCCTCAGGGAAGCAGGCACAGAGCTGCTACAGCTCAGCGCCCTGGGGTGGGGAAGCAGTGCCCCATCCAGGTAGTGATGGGGGGACGCAAAGGCTCCACACCAAGGGCACCGGCAGTCCAGCACCGCACTCATTTCCTCCAGCACAGCTGCTGCACTGCTGGCCGGCGTGTCTGTGGGGGTCCAGGACCGGGCAATGCTCACCAATGTCGTACTGCAGGCTGATTTCCAGCTTCGGCCACAGCATGACGAGAGCAAAGGAGGCATAGAAGTGGACATCGTAGGTGTTGTACATGCGGTACTCCTGCCCTGGGGACCCAACGGAGACCATGAGGGAGGGGCTGGCCAGAGCTCCCCTCCCACCCAGCGAGGGCAGGGCCTGCCCTGGCAGCTCCCAGGATCGAGGCAAAGGAGAAGGGTGCCCGGGCCAGCAGTTACCTTCCAAGTAAGCAAACCGTCCGTACTCCTGCAAGACGGGGAAGAGCTGCGACAGGCCTGCCCCCCCGGGGCCCTGCACGTCCTCTGCGCAGGCCTCTGGGGTCAGCTCCACCCAGAGCGTCCCGCCGTCCGCCAGGAAGTACAGCTCGTTGAAGAGGGCTGACTTGTACCAGGGAGGCAGCTGGCTGAGGGGCAAGGGGGCACTCAGCCACGGAGGCAGTCGTGCCCAGAGCCACACCTCTTAGCACGCCCGTGCCCCCCTGCACACACTGAAATCGCTGGGGGTGGAGCACGCTGCAAGGCACACACGCTTGTGTAACCTGGCCGGCAGCATGCAGAGAGTAAAGCGTACGGCCGAGGGACGCACAGAGCCCCACGCCCAGCTCTGGCAGCTGCAAAGTGGGTGCTCATGCACAGCTCAGCTCGTGGAGTTACGGAGCAGCAGCTTCACCCACTTGGGAGGGGCGCACGGCTGAGGCTGGCAGGGCCCTGTCCACCCCAGGCCTTTGACAGCCGGAGCACAGCCCATCGCAGCAGCTCTGCGCGCCGGGTCCAGGGTGGCCCAGACAGGTTGTGGTTTGAGGCCCCACTCTTGCCACTCAGCAGCAAAGCCTCTGGGTCCCGGCCCAGCCCCAGACAGCTGGGCTCTGGGGCTGAGGGAATGCACAGAGGGAGACCAGGCCCTGCAGCCTCCAGGTCTAGCACCGACCCTCCTGCTCCAGGCACGGGGCTCCCGGCCCAGGACGAGGGGAGTGCAGTCGTCCCATGACGTGCCCATGGTTACACTGCGGCCCCCCTCCGACTTCCCTGCACCCACACATGGCAGGGGAGGATGTACATCCCTGAGCTGCAGGTCTGGGGGGCTGGCCAGCAAGCTGGGGGGATGCAGGGCTCTCCCCCATGCTGCAGGGGGTCAGTAGCTGAACAAAGCCCAGGTCCCCCAGCAAACCCCCTCCGTGTGCCCTGTAAAGAGGTTCCTCTTCCCTGGCTCAGAGATCTGAGCTGCCTGCCCAGCAGGCACCCCACAGCCCGCACAGTCCCTGGTCCCTACAGGCCATACCTGTCCTCCAGGATGGGCTTCTGCCAAGCCTCGATCTTCTCCTCCCACTGCTCGTAGTGCATCAGCGCATAGTGGGAAAGGGCAGGGCCAGCATCACCGCTGCTGCCGAAGTAGCGTGTGTACCGCCTGCAAGACAGACAGACCACTCAGCGCGAGCCCGGCACAAGGGAGGGAGCCAGCGGCTGCTGAACCCAGCCTGTCTGGGCAGGGAAGGTGGAAGAGCACCTACCTGCTGCCCCAGAAAAGACCCTGCACTGGCTGGGACGGGCGGAGTCTGGCCAGGACCCCACCGCTGCCACCAAGCGGGTTTCCACTTTCCAGGGCAACGGGCTCAACCCTGCCCCAGTACCAAGCAGCAGGGCAGAGAGGCGGGTCGCTGCCCCCGGGTAGGGACTGTGCTCTCTCAAGGCACCAGGCAGCTGCAGTGCTGCACAGCCGGGATGGGGCACTGCACCTCTCCGGCCTGGCCACGGGGCGTCACCTGCGAGCCACGGCTGCAGGCTAGGCTGACCCTGCCCGGCAGGATTCCCCACCCTCTGGCTCTCCCTTTGTGCTGCGGACACTGGGAGCTGTGTGGCACAGAGCCGGTGTCTCAAAGCTGAGGCAGCCAGATGAGGAGCAAAACAGTACAAGGAGATACTAGAGTCACTGTTGTCCATGCCAGAAAGGACCACAATACCGGTGCCCACTGTGCCCTGCATGAGGCAAGGCAACTGCCCCGGGCTGAGCCCAAGGAGATCCGTTACAGCAGCATTTCTCAACCCATAGGTCACAAGAATATTTCAAACGGTTGCAAGCAAGTGCCATAACAATGCACGAAAGCATGGGTTTTCCCTTGCAGGCTGGCAGCGCTCCAGCCTGCAAGGGGCTGCTTGGGACACGGTCAGCACGCAGCCAGGCAGGATTATGGGAGCAGCCCCAATAGCCAGATGAAGGTAAGTATATGGGAGCAGGGGATGGAGGGCCAGGATCTGGGGACTGCCGGGGGGGGGGGGGGG